TCTTTCCCAAGCTTGGGAATTGATGCAATTTGAACGTAGAGGAATTACTCTTTGGTTCTTTCGGTAAAGTCACGTAGAAAGAAAATAAATTAAATAATAGAATACGACGTTTCGATTGCAACACAAGCAACCATCATCAGGTACGAATGAATGGGAAAACAAACAGCAAACTTAGAAATATAATGCGATACAACCTAGAGAGTCGGCTAACAACAGTCGACACCCTCTACCTGCTTGATTAACGTTCTTCCAAAGATTGCTAAATTTTAGAGACAAAACACAGACACGGAGACACACAGAGACACACAAGCAGAGAGAGACTCGCATAAAGACACACACAGAGACACACACAGAGAGACACACACAGAGACACACACAGAGACAGAGAGAGACACACAGAGAGAGAGACACAGCCAGACACAAGCAGAGAGAGACTCACACAGAGACACACACAGAGAGACACACACACAGGGACACACACAGAGAGACACACACAGAGACACACAGAGATACACACAGAGACACATAGAGAGACACACACAGAGAGAGACACACACAACAGAGACACACAGCCAGACACACAGCCAGACACACAAGCAGAGACTCACACAGAGACACACAGACAGACACACAGAGAGAGACACACACAGAGAGACACACAACATAGACACAGACAGGCACACAAGCAGAGAGAGACACACAGACAAGCAGAGAGAGACTCACACAGAGACACACAGAGACAGAGAGAGACACACACAGAGAGACACACACAACATAGACACACACAACATAGAGACAGACAGAGACATACAGAGACAGACACACACACAGAGACATACAGAAAGACAACACCTCTGTGTCGCGGCCTTAAATTGAAAGGTCGCTTCTGAAAAAAGAGCTACATAGCTCAGTGGGCCTTCTTAAACCTGCTAAAATAATTTTTTACTAAGTTTAAAATCGATCCAGTTCGCGTGTCACGAGTCACAAAGTCGATTCCCGAATCGTTACTCGCCTGGCGAGCGGAGTTTCCGGGGCGTGGCCACGAAACCGGACGACCAGTTTCGATTCCTCCGTCAGCCACTAATCGTGTTCCCGATTCCTGGTGGCGATGTTTTAATTTAATTGTCGCGATTAAAATTCACGAGCGTGCGAATATCACCATCGCCCCCCCGCTCGGGCTCCGTCGGTCAACAGCCGCCGCGGTTTTGTGTCTTCGCCTCGGGGTCGCGCGAAGCTGGCTCGACGATTCTCTTGTGAATCGATCCGAATACGCGCCGCGCAATTAAACGGAATCGATTCCTTGTTTAGCGGGTATATAAGAGGCTGCGCGGAGCCTTCCCGGGTCTTTCCGAGCCACGAGGTGGGTACCGGTGGGGCGGTCCGCGCACGTCTACCACGATGGGGGGGTCACGAACGACCCTCATCGGTTCGATCCCTGTTCTGATTGATCCCTTGTAGAACAAGATCGTCATCTTCTACAGAGATGATATCTGGGGTTGCTGCGTTGGCGGTGCGAGATTTTAACTTGGCGCCTGTGTTAATGGAGGCCGCATTTTTGAATGCGCGTGATTATGGTGATAACGGTTCTATTAAGTGCTATAGACGAGTGGTTAACATTCTAGAAGGGCTATAGAAGAGTGGTTAACGTTCTAGAAGGGCTATAGACGAGTGGTTTAATGTTTAAGAAGGGCTATAGACGCCACAGGCCTCGTGTATGATGACATCACCGACGGGCGGACTGAGCCTCATGGTGCGGATTTGTCGAGATCTGACGCGAGGCCAACGAGGCGACGATTCCCCCCTTCCCCCGGGTCTCCTCGGCGGGCTGCCGGGGGGCGATGTTTGAGGTGGATTCGATCAAGGGGAGGACGACTTTATGGATGATGCAGCAGCGAGCTTGGGTGTTGGGTGGGCGGGAAGCGAAATTCGTGGCCGCTGGGGTCATAGCGCTAAAGGCGGTGGTGGCGTGTTGCTGACCACCCATAACGATGCCGTTCTTCTTGGTTATTTCGGTAAAGTCACGTAGAAGAGGAAATAAATAAAACGATGAAATAAAAAATCTTTTTTAGTTTATTATGTTATAAAAAAATTATTTTCGATTTAAAGCTTTCTTTCGTGACTGCAGGGATTCATCTTGGTTCTTTCGGTAAAGTCACGTAGAAAGGAAGTAATAAAATAAAACATAATATTTTATGTTTTCTTTTTATTATTTTATTACTTATGTTTTATTATTTTATTACTTCCCTTCTACGTGACTTTACCGAAAGAACCAAGAAGATGAATCGCTGCAGTCACGAAAGCTTTAAATCGAAACGACGCTGTTAGTGGCGATGTAGCGAGGGTTTGGAGACTCCGTGATGGCCTCACGAGTGCACCTAGCCTGGCACAGGCGTGGCGTGGATGACGTCACCGCCACGATGTTGAGATGCTGGCGAGGTTGTAACCCGTCTCGTATCCCCCTTGCCCCCTCCCCAGCTCGCCGGGATGAATCGGGGGTCTGCAATCACCAGGTACGAACTTGATGTGGTGGTGGGGGGCAGGTGGTGGTGGGGGGGGGGGAGGTGGTGGTGGGGGGGGGAGGTGGTGGTGGGGGGGGGAGGTGGTGGTGGGGGGGGGAGGTGGTGGTGGGGGGGAAGTTGGTGGTGGTGGGGAGTGTTGGGATGTGATGATTAGTTACGTGTTAGACTTCTGATCTCCATGAAGACCAAACGTAACTGATCCCGTGCACTCCTCCCCCACAGGTCACTGGCTCACGGGTCGTGGGGTCATGGACTAACATCGTTGTGCCTTCACAGGGACCGTCGGGGAGGAGATGGAGCCACGTGAACCGTGGCCGTTGGATCGGAATCGCACAGAACTCTACGCACGAAGATCCCCCCGTGTAGCATTTGACAGACTGTTGGGGCAAAGTGCGGATGGCGAGTAGCACTTGCGAAGGGCTGGGACGGCGCACGAGGGGGGGGGGTAGTGTGTGTTCCACCACGCCCGGCCGCCTTTGTCTTCTTCACACGCACACAATCGGTTTACTTGCCAGGGCAGGGGTGCAATGGGCACACTTGTGCACACTCTTTTACGTGCGTGCACACACATGCGTGAATATACGAGCGTGCGGAGATGGTGATGTGAATATCTCTGTAAATAAACGCTCGCTCGTCAGCTCTTGAGTGTCTGGCCTCGGTTATCGCTTTGAACGGGACGAGCCATCTCTAGCAGTGTGTCTGATTGAAGGATCGTGTGAGAGAAGACCATGAGTTCCATCTCTAGCAAGCAGTGTGTCTGAGAGATCGGGTGAGAGAAGACCATGAGTTCCATCTCTAGCAGTGTGCACGATTGAAGGATCGGGTGAGAGAAGATCATGAGTTCCATCTCTAGCAGTGTGTCTGATTGAAAGATCGTGTGAGAAGACCATGGGTTCCATCTCTAGCAGTGTGTCTGATTGAAGGATCGTGTGAGAGAAGACCATGAGTTCCATCTCTAGCAGTGTGTCTGATTGAAGGATCGGGTGAGAGAAGATCACGAGTTACATCTCTAGCAGTGTGTCCGATTGAAGGATCGGGTGAGAAGACCATGAGTTCCATCTCTAGCAGTGTGCACGATTGAAGGATCGGGTGAGAGAAGACCACGAGTTTTAGAGCAGGGGTCCGTGTGTACGTGTTCACAAACAGCACCATGCCCCAACATTCTGTTAAGGCTGTACTGGGGGGGGGGGGGGGGGTCTGTTGTCCCTGTGTATGGGGTCCCCCTGTGTGTGTAAGGGTTTCTCTCTATTGGGTCCCTGTGTGAGTGTGATGTAGGTAACCCCCTGAGTATGGGGTCTATAATAGGGTTTTCCCCTTTTTTCTGGCAACAAAACCTTTCGATTTTAAGCTTTCATGACTGCAGGGATTTAGCTTCTTGGTTCTTTCGGTAAAGTCACGTAGAAGAGAAATAAAATAAAACAATAAAATAATTATTTTTATATTATCTTATTATTTCCCTTCTACGTGACTACCGAAAGAACCAAGAAGAAAAAAAAACCTTTTTACAAGGATTCATGTCACTGCATTAGGCACAATACCTTCAGTCAAAATGCAAACAAAAAACATACTTTGATAATATGATGCATTGTCCTTGAAACTGATTGGTCCACACCCAAGGAACGGCTTTCTTTTGAGCCTCGACCCAATTGGTGCTCGACCAGAGGACGACGCCAAAAGGCGGTACAGCTCAAAAGACGACGCACTATCAAAGTAATGCAGACGTGAATCCTCGTAAAAAGATTTCAGTTTTGTTGCCAGAAACAAGGGGAAAAACCCTATTATATTTTGGTACTGGCAAAGGAGGTCTTAATGATATGGGGTCTATACTCTTAGGGTTTTTCGGTAAAGTCACGTAGGCAAAAATAAATAATAGAAATAAAATAATCGCGACGTTTCGGAGGCAACACAAGCTTCCTTCATCAGGTGTAAAAAGGCAGCAAAATAAAATAAAAAACTTATTTTGCTGTGCCTTTTTACACCCAATAAAGGAAGCTTGTTGCCTCCGAAACGTGATTTATTATTTTATTTCTATTATAATTTTATTTATTTTTACCTAGAATACGGGGTCTGTGTTGATGTAGCAGGAGTGGACAACGTCCGGCCTGTGAGCTGTACAAGACCTGCAAAATCATTTGAACTGGCCCCGCCCAGGCAACCGCACGACTCGAAACTCAACAAATCTCGGCGCTTTTTTCATAGCAACAAATATAATTTTGTATGGCCTGCGAATGATGTCATAAATACTCTTAGTTCTTTCGGTAAAGTCACGTAGGTAAAAAAATGAATTTAAAATTAATAAAATAATAAATCGCGATGTTTCGGAGGCAACACAAGTCTTCGTCATCAGGTGGGACCGTCACAGCCAGATTTGTTGCATCAAGTGTCCAGATACTCTTGATGCAGCAAATCTGGCTGTGACGGTCCCACCTGATGACGGAGACTTGTGTTGCCTCCGAAACGTCGTGATTTATTTTTTATTAATTTCAATTTTTTTACCTACGTGACTTTACCGAAAGAACTAAGAGTATGAATCCTTGCAGTCACGAAAGCTTAAAATCTAGATGTTATAAATATCCAAATGGCCCTTGGCAGGAAAAAAAGTTCCCGTTCTCACTGTAGCTGGTCCCAGGTGTTCAGGCCTCCTCCCCGTGCAATGCCCCCCTCTTCCCACGGCGCGCCGGCGGTGCCAGCGAACCCCTCCAGGCGGTGCGGGCGACGGCGGCTCGCACGCGCAGCGCCAGCACCACCGCCGTGACGGCACAGAGAGCCGCGTACAGGCGCCACAGCGCGGCCAGCGCCGCCTTCAGCTCGGGGTCGCGCGGGTCCAGCCGCCGCCGTGTCCGGTTCTTGGGGGTCACCGTCACCTCCAACTCTGCCACCATCCGCCCGGCGAGCCAGCAGCTGTAGCGGCCTGCGTCGCGCCGCTTGGCGTCTTGTGTCGGGCACGTGGCGAGAGAGAGAGAGAGGCGATGTACAACATCACCATTGGTACCTCGTTTGCCAGTAAAAAATATGATAATTGGTTTTTTACCCTTTTATCTGGCAACAAAACTGACACCTTTTTTACGAGGAGTCATGTTTGCATAGCAGAGGTCGCAACCGGGTACCCGATACCCGTCCCCTACCCGATACCCGGCCGGGTACGGGTAGCCGTTTGCGACCCTGGTGCGGCCGGGTACGGGTAGGCCGTGAGTCACTGGTGAGTAACCGTTTGTCACTCATTTCGGGTAGGGTATGGGTAGGGAACGGGTACCCGTACCCAGCCGGGTACGGGTACCCATTTGCGACCCTGGTGCGGCCGGGTACGGGTAAGGAATCAAAACCCGTTTGCGACCTCTGTTGCATAGACCACAATACCTGCAGTCGTAATGCAAACAAAAAACATAACTCTGATAATGTATGCACTGTCCTTGAAGTTGATTGGTCCACTACCGAGACAGCTTTCCTTAGAGCCTAGTCTCACATGGGTTGGACCAGATGACGCCAAAAGGCGCACAAATCAAAGGCAACACACCATCAGAGTATGAGAGCTCGGGGTAAGCATTTACACCATTGGTACCTCATTTGCGATGTACAACATCGCCCAGAAAGCCCTCTTCCTGATGACGAAACGCTCGTGTTGCGATCGAAACTACGTAGTTTTTTTGTTATTTTCTTTGAACCTATCTCCGTGACTTTACTGAAAGACCCAAAGAATATGAATTCCTGCAGTCACGAAAGCTACAAGTCACGATTTAACCTTATTACTGCTAACCCTACCTCCTCCCTTTGTTGCTGCTAATCCTACATAATGCACGGGCATAATATGACTTTGAGACCCCCCCCCACCTCCTACGCATTCCACAAGTAGTGACTAATCCCATATCTGCATTTCCCATAAATATGCTAAATTCCTCTGTTGATATGCAAATTCCTTTGTCAAGGCGCCCTTCCTCCCCTAACCCAGCTTAAATATACGCTGCCAAGCTTGGTGGTGTTCATTCAGACGCTGTCTTTCCGACAGACCTGTTCTTCACCTGAGGACGGCTGCTTGCGTTGTGGCAGAAAAGTCGTGAGAATTGCATTTTATTATGTTGTATTTTTATTATTTTATTATTTCCCTTCTACGTGACTTTACCGAAAGAACCAAGAAGATGTAACCCTCTTCCACGAGTCTCGGGACTCCTCTCTATAGGAGGGTCCTGCCAAGTTTTGTCGCAGCAGTAGGCGGCGGTGTTCCTGTTGCTGCTGTGCGATCCCAGTTGAGTGATTTGCAGGTTCGTCAACACTGGGGAAGTGGTTTGGCTGACAAGTTCCACTCGCTGTGTGGATTTAGCTATGGGAGGAAACTAGGAGAACCCGGCGGAATGCGAGATGTTAACTACCTTCCCTGGTATACAGGCGTAGTCACAAACCGAACCTCTCCATAATAATAAAGGCTCAGTCTTTTGTTATGCAGTCCATTCATAGTCTCAAGCCGCACCTTACCATAATAATAAAAAATTAACCCGTATAAATAAAGTTTTTCACTATAAATCCTTTATATGCGTGGCATCGGGGCGGCTAGAGTCCTCTCGTCCTCTGGCTTGAGATGGCTGCCACCTATGGGTCAGATGATTGTCTGGCAGCATTAACCAATTGGTAAATACATATTTTTAAAAAATTCCTAAACAGTGTAAAATTTTTGAATTTTTTTTCACGAAAATTCATTGTCACGCACAACGAGTCTGTGTGCAAAATGTTAGCTCGATTGGATCACGGGAAGTGGGTTAAAAAACGACCGAAAGATTTACACGGTCCTAAGCAAGCAAGCGAACTTAATAAAAAGGATTTAAAAAGTGTGCCGTACTTGGCCCTTCCCCTCTTCAACCATTATATATACGGAGTGGTAGCTCTTGTAATCTCTCATTTACTTGATACAGCTGTCGGGCTGTGACGGTTCCACCTGAAGACGGAAGCTTGTGTTGCCTCCGAAACGTCGTGATTTTTATTTTATTTTTATTTAATTTTACTTTTATTAATTTAAATTTTTTACCTACGTGACTTTACCGAAAAAACCTAAGCATATGAATCCTTGCAATCATGAAAGCTTCAAATTTAGAATACAGGAGGTTGTGGGTTCGATCCCAACCCTGATGCCTGCTGCTGCTGTATATTTGGAGTATTCATGTTCTCCCCGTGGCCACGTGGATTGCTGTCCAGATCCTACGTGTTTTCCCTCCGCATTTGTAACTAACGCGCGTTTAGAGTATTTGGCTGCTATACATTCCCACGCGATAAGCCACTTCGTTGAGTTATCATTTGTGGCCAGGTTGCTTCTAAAAAGAGAGCGATATCAAACTTAATTTGGAGCTTTCGTGACTACAGGAATTACTCTTTGGTTCTTTCGGTAAAGTCACGTGTAAAGAGAAAATAATAAATTAAATAGCATTCTCAGGAAGAACGTAATCAACTAGGTAGGGTGCTGACTGTTATGTTATCCGACTCTCTGTTGTATTACATTACATTTCTAAGTATACTAGATTTGTGTTTCTATTTCATTTATATCTGATGGTGATGGCTTGTGTTGCAATCGAAACGTCGTATGCTAGTATTTAATTTATTACTTTCTCTTGATACGTGACTTTACCTAAAGAACCAACGAGTGAGAGCGATATCGCTCGGTGGGCCTTGAAATAAAACAACGTTTAAACCCAAACAGAACAGGGGGAGAGAACATAGAAACAAGTATAACCCGTAAAAACAAAGTTTTTCACTATAAATCCTTTATATGCGTGGCGGCTAGAGTCCTCTCGTCCTCTGGCTTGAGATGGCTGCCACCTATGGGTCGGATGATTGCATTGCACCATTAATCAATTGGTAATTAAATATAATATTTTTGTCCTAAAAAGTGTTAAATTTTGGAAAAAAATTTTCACGAACATTAATTGTCACGCACAACGAGTCTGTGTGCAAAATGTCAGCTCGATTGGATCACGGGAAGTGGGTTAAAAAAACGACCGAAAGATTTGCACGGTCGTAAGCAAGTAAGCGAACTTAATATAAAGGATTTAAAAACTCCTCTCGCTCGGGCCCTCTCTCGCACCGGCTGTCACTCACTCAAGATGTGCAGGTGGTTGTTGTTGTCCAGTGTGACCCGCCCAAACTCCGTGGCCTCGAGCTCGCGACCCCGTGTCCTCGAGAACACGGAGCGCAGGAGAGGCTGCCCGTCCCGGTCCCAGCCCACGGCGCTCTGGGGCGCACGTCACAACACGCGTGTCACACCGCACGTGGAACATCACACTGCATGCAAAACGTCATACCGCATGCAGAACATCACACCGCATGCAGAACATCACACCGCATGCAAAACGTCACACCGCATGCAGAACGTCACTCCGTGCTAAATAGTACACCGCATGTCATGAGTAAATGCCACCCTAAACTCAACTATTATTCTTCTTGGTTCTTTCGGTAAAGTCACGTAGAAGAGAAATAATAAAATAATAGAAATAAAACATAATAAAATACAATTCTCACGACGTTTCGGCCACAATGCAAGCAGCCGTCCTCAGGTGAAGAGCAGGTCTGTCGGAAAGACAGCGTCTGAAATTTTTTTGTCTTTCCGACAGACCTGTTCTTCACCTGAGGACGGCTGCTTGCGTTGTGGCCGAAACGTCGTGAGAACTGTATTTTATTATGTTTTTATTATTATTTTATTATTTCCCTTCTACGTGAATTTACTGAAAGAACCAAGAAGATGAATCCCTGCAGTCACGAAAGCTTTAAATCGAAACTCAACTATTATTTTCCAGGTAAAGCTATTTTTCAAAAGCGACCTGGCCACGTGATGGCTCAATGAAGTGGCTTATCACGTCGAGATGTACAGCAGCCAAATACGATAAACGTGGAGGGGAAAACCCGCGCAGTACCTGGAGAAAAATCCATGGAGAGAGTGAACACGCAAACTCGAACCCACGACATCCAGCCACCGCGGCTCTCCACACGCTCCACTACACACGGCAGCACACCAGCCGCGTCATACCACGGCGCACAAGGTCACCCCCCCCCACTCGCTCCTCACCCCGTGCCCCCACCCTCACCTGTGGGGAGCCCCCGGGGCACGAGAGCTCCACGTGTCTCGCCAGGGTCACGCGGTTCTGCAGCTTGGCAACCCCCACGGGTCCCAGGCCCATCAGCTCACGCAGCGCCGCGTGGACGTCTACGGGGTGGAGGGGGGGGTATACTGGGTGTGATGTGTGGTTGGGGTGGTGGGTGTGATGTGTGGTGGGTGTGGTGGGTGTGGTGAGTGTGGTGGGTATGGTGGGTGTGATGTGTGGTGGGTGTGGTGGGTGTGGTGAGTGTGGTGGGAGTGGTAGTTGTGGTGGGTGTGGTGAGTGTGGTGGGTGCGGTGAGTGTGCTGGGTATGGTGAGTGTGGTGGGTGTGGTGAGTGTGCTGGGTATGATGGGCGTGGTGTGCCGTGTACCCTGCACGGCGCTGCCCGTCGAGGCGCACGTGTCACGGCAGCCGCGCACGAGGATCTCGGGGGGCCGGGAGCGCGCGGCCAGGAGCGCGAAGCGGGGGGCGGCCAGGGAGCCGCATCCCACGGGACCCCCAGGAACCTCGCTCACATAGCGGGGGGCCCCCTACAGCATCACATCAATCAGCACAACAACATCGTCATCATACCAATCATCATCGTCACACGAGCCCCCTCACCTCACACTGTATTTTCAATCTTGATTTGAAGCTTTCGTGACTGCAGAAATCCATACTCTTTGGTTCTTTCGGTAAAGTCACGTGGGTAGAAAATAAACTGCTGAAGTAGGCTTAGCTGTGGTTGTCCCACCTTCAAGTTTTAAGTTTCATTTATTAGGTACAGCCCTGTGAGCCATTCGGCTCTTGAATCGGGTGCAACCGCAACAAACAAAAAAACAAAAACATGAACAAGAGAACATCTTAAAGTGACTATGTGCAAACAGAAAATCCAAGAAAAGACAGCAAAATATTGCAGAAAAAGCACCGTACACCAACCCTGATGACGATTGCTTGTGTTGCGATCGAAACGTCGTGATCGATAATTTTTTACCTACGTGACTTTACCGAAAGAACCAAAGAGTGAATTTTTACTTTGCAAACGCAGAGGCCACCAGTGTAAAGTAGTATTTAACAGACTGTTTGGGCAAGTGATGTTAGCGAGTGGCAGCACGTGAAGGCCGACACGGCAAACGAGGCGGGGTGAGTGGTGGGGGGCAGCATCACGAGCGGCCGCCCCGTCTCCCGAGTGGCGATGTTTAGCACATCGCAGCAGGAATTCATTTAAGGCTGAGGTCACCCAAGGGAGGAGGCCCAGAACAGGTTCAGTGGTGGCCTTGAACGGGGAACGAACTCGGGGCTCTGGCCGGCTTCGTGGCGTGGTGCGCTAATCACTACACTACCGCTCCAACCACCACCACCACCATCATCACAACCACCACCACCACCATTATCACCACCATCACCACCACCATCACAACCAGTGTCACTACACTACCGCTCCCACCACCTCCACCATCGACATCACAACCACCACCATCATCACCACCATCACCACCACCATCACAACCAGTGTCACTACACTACCGCTCCGACCACCACCACCATCATCATCACAACCACCACCACCACCATCATCACCACCATCATCACAACCAGTGCCACTACACTACCGCTCCCACCACCACCACCACCATCATCACAACCAGTGTCACTACACTACTGCTCCCACCACCACCACCATCAACACAACCAGTGTCACTACACTGCCACCACCACCACCATCATCACAACCAGTGTCACTACACTACCGCTCCCACCACCACCACCATCATCACAACCATCACCGTGACTCTGCTTATATCACCCAGGAACGCCTCGTCGAGTCCCAACACTCCTTGTAAGGAGGATCCTGCCGCACACTACACATGAACACCACACACACCACACACACTACACATGAACACCACACACACCACACTACACACGAACACTACACACACACCGCACGCACACTACACATGAACACCGCACATGCACCACACACACTACACATGAACACCACACACACCACACGCACACTACACATGAACACCACACACACCACACACACACTACACATGAACACCACACACACCGCACACACTACACATGAACACCGCACACACACCACATGCACACTACACATGAACACCACACACACCGCACGCACACTACATGAACACTACACACGCACGCGCCTTCTTGGCAGAGGTGATGACGCTGCCGGACACCATGCACACCCCCGCGTTGATCATCTCCCCGGGCCGCCCACACCTGGGGGGAGGGGTCGGGGGGGGAGGTGTGTTGAGTGGCGGTGTGTGCGTGTAATGTGTGCTGCGTGTGTGTGCTGCGTGTGTGTGCTGCGTGTGTGTGCTGTGTGTGTGTGTTGTGTGTGTGCTGTGTGCGGTGAGTGTGTGTGCGGTGAGTGTGTGCGTGTAATGTGTGCTGCGTGTGTGTGCGGTGAGTGTGTGCGGTGAGTGTGTGCTGAGTGTGTGTGCGGTGAGTGTGTGTGCGGTGAGTGTGAGTGCGGTGAGTGTGTGCGGTGAGTGTGTGCTGAGTGTGTGTGCGGTGAGTGTGTGTGCGGTGAGTGTGTGCGGTGAGTGTGTGCGTGTAATGTGTGCTGAGTGTGTGTGTGCGGTGTGTGTGTGTGCGGTGTGTGTGTGTGCGGTGAGTGTGTGTGCGGTGAGTGTGTGTGCGGTGAGTGTGTGTTGAGTGTGTGCGGTGAGTGTGTGTTGAGTGTGTGTGCGGTGAGTGTGTGTGCGGTGAGTGTGTGTTGAGTGTGTGCGGTCAGTGTGTGTTGAGTGTGTGTGCGGTGAGTGTGTGTGCGGTGAGTGTGTGTGCAGTGAGTGTGTGCGGTGAATGTGTGCTGTATGGTACATGTGTTGAGTGGCGTCTGGTGAGTGTGTGTTGTGTGAGTGAGGTGTGGTTATGTGGTGTATGTGTAGAGTGGTGGGTGGTGAGCGTGGTGTGTAGGCATGTGTTGAGTGGTGTGTGGTGTTGTGTGAGTGAGGTGTGGTGAGTGGTGAGTGAGGTGTGATGAGTGGTGTATGTGTTGAGTGGTGTGTGGTGTTGTGTGAGTGGGGTGTGGTGAGTGGTGAGTGAGGTGTGATGAGTGGTGTATGTGTTGAGTGGGGTGTGGTGTTGTGAGTGGGGTGTGGTGAGTGGGGAGTGAGGCGTGGTGAGTGGTGTATGTGTTGAGTGGGGTGTGGTGTTGTGAGTGGGGTGTGGTGAGTGGGGAGTGGGGAGTGTTGTGTGGCCACGTGGTGTATGTGTTGAGTGGTGAGTGAGGTGTGGTGAGTGGTGTATGTGGTGAGTGGTGTGTGGTTGTGTGAGTGGGGTGTGGTGAGTGTTGAGTGAGGTGTGGTGAGTGGGGTGTGGTGAGTGGTGAGGCAATGCTCACCTGTCACACGGGGTCCACCCACTCCAAGCCGTGAACACCGTCACCTTGTTGTGCACACCCTTCACCTGCACTCACCACACTCACCACACTCACTCACCACACACCACAACAACAACCGCCATTCGCCACTAAGTGGCGGTGACATCACCACGTCACTAGTGCCAGGCCATGTGCGCCTTGAGGCCACGTGAAGTGTCGAACGCCCGCTGGCAGGAGGTCACGGGGGCAGACCCAGCAGGTGCCACGGGTCGACTGACCGAGATGACTGGCCACACACCACACTCACACATTCACCCACCATACACCACAAACTCACCACATGCCACTCACTACACACCACAAACTCACCATATTGTCTTCACACTTAACACAAACTCACCACATGCCACTCACTACACACTCACCACAAACTCACCCATACTGTCTTCACACTCAACACAAACTCACCACATGCCACTCACTACACACTCACCACAAACTCACCACATGCCACTCACTACACACTCACCACAAACTCACCCATACTTCACACTCAACACAGCACCCTGCTGATAAAGTGTCCGGGGGCTCATGTGTGGCCTTCCTGGATACGATGCAATGATATTGTTCACTCACCACCCAGCCTCCACACTCACCCACACTCACCCACACTACTGACTGTGACGTCATGACCCCCCCCACCCCCACACCCCCCTCGTGCCCCCTCCCCCACCGTGAGCTCAGGTCGCGGTTGCTCCTCCCGGTCCAGCAGCACGAGGCGGGCGCTGCCCGTGAACTGCACCACGACCTGGGGGGGGGGGGTCACCTCGTCACAGGGAGGTGGGGGGGGTCACAGGGAGGTGGGGGGGGTCACCTGTCACAGGGAGGTGGGGGGGGTCACCTCGTCACAGGGAGGTGGGGGGGGGGTCACAGGGAGGTGGGGGGGGGGTCACAGGGAGGTGGGAGGGGGTCATCTTGTCACAGGGAGGTGGGGGGGGGGTCACAGGGAGGTGGGGGTGGGTCACCTCGTCACAGGAGGGGTCACAGGGGGGGTCACCTCGTCACAGGGAGGTGGGGAGGGGGTCACCTCGTCACAGGGGGGGGGGTCACCTCGTAAGCAAAGTAGAAGTCTCCGTCTGACGAGCCGCAGATGTAGTGACCAGAGTCCGAGGCTGCGAGGTGACATCATCATCCACATCATCATCATCATCCACATAGTCACACCATCATCATCCACATCATCATCCACATAGTCACATCATCATCATCCCCAGTCACATCATCATCATCCACATAGTCACACCATCATCCACATCATCCACATAGTCACATCATCCACATCATCCTCCACAGAGTCACACCATCATCATCCACATCATCCTCCACCTTTGCATCATCACCTAAACATCAGGTGGTGAATCATGTGAGTGATGGGGTGAGTAAACTAAAACTAAACTTCTTATATTCTTGGTTCTTTCGGTAAAGTGACTTTACCGAAAGAACCAAGAATATGAATCCCTGCAGTCACGAAAGCTTTATATCAAAATTTAAACTTCTTATTTTTATTTTACCAGGTAAGGCCCACTGAGCTATAAGAAGCGACCTGTCCACAATTGACAGCTCAACGGAGTGGCTTGCCATGGAGAAATTGATAGCAGCCAAATATCCCAAACGCATCTTTCTAACGAGGTGATCGTGATAATTGTTTTTTTACCCTTCTATCTGGCAACAAAACTGACACCTTTTTTACAAGGAGTCATGTTTGCATAGACCACAATACCTGCAGTCATAATGCAAACAAAACCCATGTGAGACTAGGCTCTAAGGAAAGCCGTCTCGGGTGTGGACCAATCAACTTCAAGGACAGTGTAGACATTATCAGAGTTATGTTTTTTGTTTGCATTACGACTGCAGGTATTGTGGTCTATGCAAACATGACTCCTTGTAAAAAAAGGTGTCAGTTTTGTTGCCAGATAGAAGGGTAAAAAAAACAATTATCATATTTGTTTAACTGCCAAATGAGGTTCCAATGGTGAGATAGTGACGAGGTGGGTGATGAGGTGGTGAGTCTCTCAGGCCTGGAGGATGAGGAGGCTGAGTGGAGGAGACGAGTAACGAGGCGAGGAGGTGAGGAGCGGTCTCGCTCACGGCGGCTGTCGAGGATGACGAGGTTGAAGAGGAGAATGCTGAAGCGGCTCGTCAAGTCGGCGCTCATGGCGTCGCGGTCCAGGATCCGCGTGCCCGAGCGATCCGAGAGAACCACGGGGCGAGACGAGAACCAGCCGGGGAGCTGTCTCCACGGGGGGACACGGGGGGGGGGGGGGGGGGGGAGACACGGGGGAGACACGGGGGGATACAGGGGGGACACGGGGACACAGGGGGACACGGGGAGACACGGGGGAGACACGGGGGGACAGGGGGAGACACGGGGACACGGGGAGACACGGGGGGATACGGGGACACGGGGGGACACGGGGGAACACGGGGAGACACGGGGGGATACGGGGAGACAGGGGGAGACACGGGGGGACACGGGGAGAGACACGGGGGGACACGAAGGGACACGGGGAGACACGGGGAGAGACACGGGGAGACACGGGGGGACAGGGGGGGACACGGGGAGAGACCACGTGACCTACTAGAGCCACCCTCAAGCCCTTCCCCTCTCTCTAGCCCCCGCGCTCCTAGGACCCCCACTCGCCTCCCCCCCCTCTCTGTAGTAACCCACGTGACCCCCCCCCCCCCACCGCTCTGTAGTAGAACCACGTGACCCCCCCACCTCTCTGCAGTATAACCACGTGACCCCCCACCTCTCTGCAGTACACCACGTGACCCCCCCACCTCTCTGCAGTACACCACGTGACCCCCCCACCTCTCTGTAGTAGAACCACGTGACCCCCCCCACCTCTCTGTAGTAGAACCACGTGACCCCCCCCCCCACCTCTCTGTAGTAGAACCACGTGACCCCCCCCACCTCTCTGTAGTAGAACCACGTGACCCCCCCCCACCTCTCTGTAGAACCACGTGACCCCCCCCCCCCACCTCTCTGTAGTAGAACCACGTGCCCCCCCCACCTCTCTGTAGTAGAACCACGTGACCCCCCCACCTCTCTGTAGTAGAACCACGTGACCCCCCCCCACCTCTCTGTAGTAGAACCACGTGACCCCCCCCACCTCTCTGTAGTAGAACCACGTGACCCCCCACCTCTCTGTAGTAGAACCACGTGACCCCCCCACCTCTCTGTAGTAGAACCACGTGACCCCCCCCCTGTAGTAAACCACGTGACCCCCCCCCACCTCTCTGTAGTAGAACCACGTGACCCCCCCCTGTAGTAAACCACGTGACCCCCCCCCCACCTCTCTGTAGTAGAACCACGTGACCCCCCCACCTCTCTGTAGTAGAACCACGTGACCCCCCCACCTCTCTGTAGTAGAACCACGTGACCCCCCCCCCACCTCTCTGTAGTAGAACCACGTGACCCCCCGGAGCGCGTCCTCGGGCTTGCAGCGGCAGGGCAGCTCCATGGCGGAGCCGCTGAGGAAGGCGGCGCTCACGAAGCTCAGCGTGGCGGGGCAGCGGGGAGGGGCAGCCGGGGGGGGGGCCACGCTGGTGGGGGGGGCGAGCACGAGCAGCAGCACGAGCAGCAGCGGCAGCAGCGTGGGGTGTGAGTGAGTGTGCATGGTCGGTGTTGTGGCGTCAGTGGTGGTTGTGTTGTGGTGTTATTATTGTGGTTGTGGTGTTATTGTCGTGGTTGTATTATTGTGCTGTTATTATTATGGTGTTATTATTGTGGTTGTGTTATTATTGTGGTGTTATTATTGTGGTTGTGTTGTTATTATTGTGGTGTTATTATTGTGGTTGTGTTGTTATTATTGTGGTGTTATTATTGTGGTTGTATTGTTGTGGTTGTATTGTTGTGGTGTTATTATTGTGGTTGTATTGTTGTGGTTGTATTGTTGTGGTGTTATTATTGTGGTTGTATTGTTTTGGTGTTATTATTGTGGTGGTATTATTGTGGTTGTATTGGTGTGGTTGTATTGTTGTGGTGTTATTATTGTGGTGTTATTGTTGTGGTTGTATTATTATTGTGGTTGCATTATTATTATTGTCGTAGTTGCATAGTTGCGGTGTTATTGTTGCGGTGTTGTTGGGGGTAGCAAAGTCCGTTATGGAGGTGGAACCGTTACGCCCCGTGACCCGTAGCGATGGGGGAGGGGGGAGGGGGGCGTAGAGAGGCGGGGCTAGGGGGGGGTGGAGGGGGTCTCACAGACTCCGCCCACCCCGCCCGTACGCCCCGCCCACCCCGCCCGCCCCACCCCACCCCGCGCTCGTCCCCCCCGCCCATTCGCCCCGCCTACCCGTCTCGTGCACGCACGCCCCGCCCATTCACTCCGCCCCACCCGCACGCCCCGCCCGCCCCACCCCGCGCTCGTACGCCCCGCCCACCCGCCCCACCCCGCGCTCATACGCCCCGCCCACCCCGCCCTGCGCTTGCCCACCCCACCCCACCCAGCCCGTCCGCCCCACCCCGCCCCGCCCGCACAGGCCCCCGTGCTTGGTCGCCATCAGTCAGCAGCAGCAAGGCGAACAAGTCGCGATGAGTGAGACGGAGTCCGCCGCCTCGCTCCCTCGGGGTAACCACGTGGAGGTTGTGTGTGTGGGCGACGCGTGGAGGTTGTGTGTGTGGGCAACACATGGAGGTTGTGTGTGTGGGCGAGGCGTGGAGGTTGTGTGTGTGGGCAACACATGGAGGTTGTGTGTGTGGGCGAGGCGTGGAGGTTGTGTGTGTGGGCAACACATGGAGGTTGTGCGTGTGGGCGAGGCGTGGAGGTTGTGTGTGTGGGCAACACATGGAGGTTGTGTGTGTGGGCGAGGCGTGGAGGTTGTGCGTGTGGGCAACACATGGAGGTTGTGTGTGTGGGCGAGGCGTGGAGGTTGTGCGTGTGGGCAACACATGGAGGTTGTGCGTGTGGGCTACACATGGAGGTTGTGTGTGTGGGCTACACATGGAGGTTGTGTGTGTGGGCTACACATGGAGGCTGTGTGTGTGGGCTACACATGGAGGTTGTGTGTGTGGGCTACACGTGGAGGTTGTGTGTGTGGGCTACACATGGAGGTTGTGTGTGTGGGCTACACATGGAGGTTGTGTGTGTGGGCAAGGCGTGGAGGTTGTGTGTGTGGGCTACACATGGAGGTTGTGTGTGTGGGCGAGGCGTGGAGGTTGTGCGTGTGGGCTACACATGGAGGTTGTGTGTGTGGGCTACACATGGAGGCTGTGTGTGTGGGCGAGGCGTGGAGGTTGTGCGTGTGGGCTACACATGGAGGTTGTGTGTGTGGGCGAGGCGTGGAGGTTGTGTGTGTGGGCTACACATGGAGGTTGTGTGTGTGGGCGAGGCGTGGAGGTTGTGCGTGTGGGCTACACATGGAGGTTGTGTGTGTGGGCTACACATGGAGGCTGTGTGTGTGGGCTACACATGGAGGTTGTGTGTGTGGGCTACGCGTGGAGGTTGTGTGTGTGGGCTACACATGGAGGCTGTGTGTGTGGGCTACACATGGAGGTTGTGTGTGTGGGCTACACATGGAGGCTGTGTGTGTGGGCTACACATGGAGGTTGTGTGTGTGGGCTACGCATGGAGGTTGTGTGAGTGGGCTACACATGGAGGTTGTGTGTGTGGGCTACGCGTGGAGGTTGTGCGTGTGGGCTGCACGTGGAGGTTGTGTGTGTGGGCTACGCGTGGAGGTTGTGCGTGTGGGCTGCACGTGGAGGTTGTGTGTGTGGGCTACGCGTGGAGGTTGTGCGTGTGGGCTGCACGTGGAGGTTGTGTGTGTGGGCTACGCGTGGAGGTTGTGCGAGTTTTTGTTGCAGTTGTCACGGTCCGCACGCTACGCTCCGAACCAGACGGGCCCCAGTTCGAATCGCGTGCAGTGACGATTTTCCGAACCGGTCCCGGGCCTCTCCTAGGTCGACTCGGCCTCAAATGAGTACAGTAGCTGGTGTGGGGTGTGTAAACATCGCCACTAATGGGGAGAGACAAAGGCGGCCAGGCGTGGTGTTGCCCACCCTTGCACGTGCCCCACATGGCTGTTTTGAGGATATTTGGTGAGTTTGGGGGTGTTTGGGGGTGAGTTTGGGGGTGAGTTTGAGGGTGAGTTTGAGGGTGTTTTGGTGAGTTTGGGGGTGTGTTTGAGGGTGCGTTTGGGGGTGATTTTGAGGGTGAGTTTGAGGGTGTTTTTGGTGAGTTTGGGGGTGTGTTTGGGGGTGAGTTTGAGGGTGAGTTTGAGGGTGTTTTTGGTGAGTTTGGGGGTGAGTTTGAGGGAGTTTGGGGGTGAGTTTGAGGGTGTTTTGGTGAGTTTGAGGGTGAGTTTGGGGGTGAGTTTGAGGGTGTTTTGGTGAGTTTGAGGGTGAGTTTGAGGGTGAGTTTGGGGGTGAGTTTGGGGGTGAGTGGCACGTGGTGTGGTGAGCCTCGTGACGTCCGTTATCACGAAGACCCATCACGGTGACAATTAGGAAATCGGCAAACGGTGAAAGTACAAAATGACTAAAGTCTGGGATTGCACGCAAGCCCCCTATTGACAGCAGACGAACGCGTAGGCGACCGATATCCATCATCAGTCGCCTGTCATGCTCCGATGGAAATAGCTGTTGCGAAAAGTAAACAAAGTAAATGTTACGATTTTTCCCACTGATCTGTGTCGTGAATGTCATTTCTGTACGATTCCAATCATTTTTATCGTCAAAATCGCCAAATTTTTGCGGAGCTCCGCTGCAAACACGAGGACAGACGAGAGGTGAGGCAGCCACGAGCTCAGCCTCCCCTCTGATTGCGCAATGAGCGCGTGCCTGTTGCTATCTCTCTGTATGTCACCAGTGTAATGTTTGTAGACGCCTTCATTACATGTCCTCGCCTTCCATAGTCCACGTAACTTATTTCACGTGTGTATATAAAGTTATTTAAAGACCCACAGACACGCACAGAGACCCACAGACACGCACAGAGACCCACAGACACGCACAGAGACCCACAGAAACCTTGCATAGAGACCCACAGACACGTACAGCGACCCACAGACACGCACAGAGACCCACAGGCACGCACAGAGACCCACAGAGACCCACAGACATTCACAGAGACCCACAGAAACCTTGCACAGAGACCCACAGACACGCAGAGAGACCCACAGACTCGCACAGAGACCCACAGACACGCACAGAGACCCACAGACACGCACAGAGACCCACAGACACGCACAGAGACTCACAGAGACCCACAGACATGCACAGAGACCCACAGAAACCTTGCATAGAAACCCACAGAAACCTTGCATATGAAGTACTCTTGAAGACGCGTGGACACCGTAGTAAGGCACACCGTATTTATTACACAATGTCGTACAGCACTGGAGGGATGTATCGGCCCCCTCACCCGTATAACTGGGAATTCACCTCTAGCTAGCCTTCCTAGCCGAGTCCTCCACTAACGGGCTAGGGGAGGCTGTCTGGCCCGACACTGGTCAGTCGGGCTACGGTACCCGGAATCCCAGAGGACTAACTCTGGTTCCGGGACCACGCCACTGGCTCCAGCCTGTGCTGCCCTTACAAGGGCGGCGTCCCAGGGGGAGTCCAGGGCCTATCTGGCCGGTCTTCCGTCTTCCTTTTACTACTCTAAGACTCAACCCCGAGCTCTCTGGCTCATCCCTTTTTATACCCCCCTAGAGGATCGAAACCCCCCTCACGCCGTCCAGTGCGGACGTCGTTGCGGCCACCACCCCGTGTGCTCACGGAGTCCCCGCCCACTGTGTTTGTTATCCGTTAGCTCCCATGCAAACAGCCCTACACAAACAGCCCCTCTGTAACAGCCCTACATCACCCCCCCCTGTACAGCTCGCAGCCGTCCCGGCTGCAACAACTTCAATAAAAGTTATTTAACCCCTGGATCCCCGCGTGTGCCTTAAAAAAACGTTTTTAACGATAACATGAAGGGAACAACAACAACAACAACAACGACAACAACAACAAAACCCACAACCCCGAAGGGAACAATCCGACGCACCCCCCCTGAATAAATACGAATACCGTAAGAGCGACGTATATACAGGTTTAGCAGAGAACTCCTAGCACGCATGCAACACAACAAAAAAAATGTGGTAGGAGCTCCCCACCGACGCAGCACCACGCAACCGTACGTAAGAGAATAAAGTGTTCGTCCAATGCATTATAAGAGTCTGCGCATTTTTGCGCGTGTCCTTGCTGCAGGCCCGTCACACGGGGCAATCCCGGGTGGCGAACCCGCCGGTGGCGGTTGTTCATTTTGTATAGAGTCCGCGTCTGACGTCGCGAGACCCTCGGCATCCCTCGCAGCAGTAGGTGGGTGCGAGCTCGTCAGTCCCGGTGCACCTGTGGGTGGGACAGCCGGCGACACGTCAGGCGAGGGCAGTGAGGACGGACCCTTTGAGTCGGCCGACCCCCCACATGTTTGGCCACGCGTGTGTGGAGTGGGGCCTCGCACCGCAACGAATGGTTTTAGCCTCGAGGGGTGCACAAACCACCGGCGCTTCCCCCATTTGATGCGAACACACTGAGGCCGCAGAACCTCGACCACCTCTACAGGCCCCCTCCACGGCCGCGCCAGTTTAGGGGATGTTGCGAGCGGTACCTGGGGGCAG